AGCTAATAAGCCAACATGGAGATAATTTGAATCATAAAAAATATTTTTAAAAAAACACAAAATCAGGCAAAAAAAAAAAAAGGAAGAGTAATCCAAAACAGATGGAACAAATAAATAAAAAGAAAATATCAAGATAATAATTTAAACCTAATTCTATCAATACTAATGCTAAATTTATATGTTCTAAATACTCCACTTAAAAGTCAGAGATTGGAAGATTGATTTAAAAAGGAAAAAGTAAACATTAAATATATGCTGCTTACGGAAAATACATTTAAATACAAGACACAAATAGGTTAAAAGTAAATGTTGGAAAAGAGAAATCCTGTGAGCACTAATAATAAGAAATCTGGGTGACTTTATTAATATGCAAAAACATAAATTTTTAGAAATTTTGTCCAGGATAAAATATTGCCCAGCATGAAGAAGGTAATTTCATCTTACAAAATGAGTCATTTTATCAACAGGACACAACAATTCTTAGTATTTGTGTACCAACAACAGAGCTTCAAAATGTACAAAGCAAAAACTGATATAACTGAAGGAGAAAGTAAAATCCACATTTGTGGGCAAAAATTTCAATACCCTTCTCTCAATCATTAATAGAACAAACTGACAGGAAATCAGTAAATCCGTAGATTAGAACAACACTGTCAACCAACTTGACCTAATTGCCAGTTATGGAATATTCAACCCAACAGAGCAGCAAACTACACCTACTTTTCAAGCCTACGCAAAACATCTACCAAAATAGATCAAATTCTGAACCATAACACAAGCCTCAATAGATTTAAAAGGATTCAAGTTATATAAAGTATGTTATCTGGCTGCAGTTAAATTCAATTAAAAATTATTAACAAAACCTGGAATTGCTCTGTATATTTGGAAACAAACTAACACAATTCCAAATAGCCCAAGACTCAAAGAGGAAACCCAAAGAGGAACTAAAAAGTATTTTTAAATGAATGAAAATGACAACACAGCATAACAAAATTGTGGGATACCCAATATGGAAGGACTTAGTAGTGTATTAATAGCACTAAATGTCTATGTTAGGAAAGAATGAAGATTTCAGAGAAATGTCTTCCACTTTATGAAACTAGCAAAAGAAGAGAAGACCCAAGCCAGGCTAATGAAAGCTGTTTCTGAGTTTCTAACTGCATCTCATGGGGATGATAATTTCTTTCCTCTGCTTATGTGACTGAAAGCATGATTAAACCAAAACTGTGATTCAGGAAAGACCCAAATTTATGAGACCAAGATTGCATTTTAAGCCATAAAGAGCAGGAGAATCTCCGTGGCTTGAACTGTGAATAGATATTTGTTTGTTATCAGAGAAAGTAATTGTATTGCTTTATCTGCCTTTCCTTCCATGTAAGTAATAGAAATCTCAGTAGTAGCTGATCACATGATCACAGAGAATAAACTACACTTCTCAGCCTCCTTGGCAGCTGGGTGTAGAAATGTGGTTTAAGTTCTGGTCAATGATACTGTGCCTATTAACTTTTGCTGCTTAAGTTGTTGGCTAAAAACAATAAAAATTGCTTATTTATTTAGGATTCTATGGTTTAGCTCAGTGCTGGTGTGCACTGGCTTGTCCAGCCTCTTCTAGGCGCTCTCATTTGTCTGTGATTAGCTAGCTGGTCAAGTGGCAGTTAGGTAACTTAGGAAGACCCCACTCACGTATCTGGTGGTGGACAGCTGGCTGTTCACTGGGGCAATAGGAGCAATTATTAGCTGGGGCACCTCAGTTCTCTGCCACACAACCTCTAATATTCTAGCAGGATAGCATGAGCCTCTTCCCGAGGTTATCTCAGAGTTCCAAGCTCAACAAGAGAGAATGAGCTCCAAATTTTCAAGCATTTTAAAACCCCTCTTTGAATCATATTTATAAGCATTTTATCTGCTAGTATTTGGCCAAAGAAAACCAATAGGTCAACCTAGAGTTGTTGTGGAAGGATTGTACCAAGAGTGCCTTATGGTTTGGAGATGTATTTTTAAAGGAAAAGGGAATGCCTTTCTCTCTTTCTACTTCTTGGAGGAATGGAATTGGTTTTTGAGTATGAGTAGATTTGTATTTTCTCACATTAAAAAGGGAGAATTGACAGCTATAGAATCTACAGAAGTAAACTTGGTATTTTCATTTTAATTCTGGGAAACTGGCTAAAGTAAACATTTTAAAAAATGATACCACCTTATTTTTAAACTACATTTTAAGATATAGTTAATATACAAAAATTATAATCTATATATGCTTTGGAGACTTAGATTAATGACATGGTAGTAAACTTGTTATTTTATTAATTTGTACCAGAGTTATTCACATGGAAAGAATTGTTTTTATTGACAAAAATATCTTGATAAAGCTTAGGATTTGGCAAGAATCAAGGCAATAATATACACTTTTGAGATGTGTGTGAAAAAGTGACCATGTAAAGTCAGGTGTACAGAGAAAACGTAGATATGCTTATGACAGAGTGAGGGGGAAGAAGAGAGAAGCCACAGAGATAGTAGATAATTGGAGTGCAGGATCACAGGTAATTGGAATGCCAAAGAAAACCTCTACCAATAGGGAAGCTAAAGGGATATTATGAATTGCAAAGTAATGATTTTGTTCCTTTTTTTACCATGAATCTTTAATAAAGTTTAACAACTATATTTGTTTGTTTGTTTTGAACAAGAGTTATTGAAATTGAGGCATTAGCTGAGTTTCACCTCTGGGAGACACAGAGCAGAGCTGGCAGGAGCCAGAGAGACTTCAAAATGGAAGAAGCAAAAGTGTCAAGTCAGGGCAACTATGAGATGATCAATATGCATAGAATTCTTATAAACTTAAGGAGCACTTCCGTTGTTCAGGAATGGAATTAGGGTCATAGGCAGCCTTATCTAGATTACAAAAGGGCAAGGACACTCCAGCTGATACATGCTTTACATGTAAATAAGAATATATCAAGGCCTAGTGCAGTGGCTCACATCTGTAATCCCAGAACTTTGGGAGGCCAAGGTGGGTTATCATCTGAGATCAGGAGTTGGAGCCCACCCTGACCAGCATGGTGAAATCTTGTCTCTACCAAAAACACAAAAAATTAACTGGATGTGATGGCTCATTCCTGTAATCCCAGCTACCTGGGAGGCTGAGACAGGAGAATCGCTTGAACCAGGGAGGAGGAGGTTGCAGTGAGCTGAAATTGCACCATTGCACTCCAGCAGCCTGGGCAACAGGAGCTAAACTCTGTCTTTTTTTTTTTTTTTTTTTTTAAAAAAAAAGGGAATATAATAAAACATATAAAAGATAAAGTTTGGGCATTCTTATTTCTCTTTAACTTTTGCACTCTTCCTTACTCTTTGAAAAAGTATTGTTTACATGTGGGTAATGTGTAAGACTATTCTTTGACGGAAACATAATGTATGTCCAATGCCTTAAGGTGCTTACCATCTGCTTGGAGAACAGCACTGATACCCATAAAGTACCAGCAAAGACTCAGGCTTGAGTTAGGAATTGATGTACTTGAAGTGTTACAAGTATGTGCTCAGAGGCCTTATGGATTTTCATGGTATGGGTAAATGTAACACATACCCACCAATAAATGCCATTTATTTTTGTAGGCTGAATCAAATCTCTGTCTCGAGTAATGATTTCATATCCTTTGGACTAGATGGGAATAGGACTAAGAAACAGCCAGGCAAAACAAGGCAGTTCATCATCCTTATTCATCTTTCTAAACCTATATGCATCTTTTCATACTGAGGTTCATTATTATCTACAACTACATTTGGTTTGCATATAACCATTTATTTTTCAGCCTTAGATATTTTCATATCAATTGTCTTGTTTTATCCTTAAATAAAGGTTCCAGTGAGTCCCTATTTCTTGGGTGAGGAAAATTGAGGCTTAAAAATAGGTTTTTAAAAATTAGTTAATTTCTAACCCCTTCCCTATATCTTGTAACTGAATCTCAACCTCATGATTTTTTTTAATATCCTTGAAATTAAATAGAAATCAAATAATATCTTTCCACATGTGGGTTACTTCCCTCTATGATAACTCTGCCTCCAAATGTGAAGAGCTGGATTTAATCCAACTGAAAGAAAATCAGGGGGGAAAATGTCAGGGACTAGAAAAGAGATTTGATGTCTGTACCCACATTGCAGTGTTCGAGTCCTGAGTTATTAAATTTCTCATATTTGACATTTTATATACATATGTCTGTTTATGAAGAGTTTAGTTCTTATCTTTCTTTAGTCAATATATTTCTTTAATCTTTCTTTAATCTATACATATAGTAGATGAACGCTATTTTATGTATTTTCATTCTTCTCAAACCAGCAGCTTGAAGAGTAAAAAGACACAGTGTTTTAGCTATTTTTATTGAAAATGCTTTAAAACAAAAAACTTTTGGAATTTCTTACCACAATATCAATCAGCTAAATATATTTAATGTGGTAAATGAACCATACATATGCCGAAATAGTCCTAAAATGTACTAGGGTCAGTATCAATAGGCATAAATAGATTCTATTAACAAAGAACATTAAACATTGTTACACTGTTGATGGGATGGTATTATTATAGAAAGAGTCTCCCTCAATTTAAATACCTAGCATGTACAAAACAAGTTTGAATCAATGAGACAGTAAACAAGAAGAATAAAATATAGATGGTGTCCTAAAGAATAAAGTAACTGCTGACTGTTTTTCTATTTTCAGTTTCTACAAATCTATATTTTGATTTCTTTATATAGTATTTAATGGTTAATTCCCCATTTCCCTTTTAGTCTTACATGACTAACTTCTATGGGTTTTATTTTCATTCAGTTCTATATATTCCACCTGCTGAAGCCTCCCATGTTGTGTGTCAAGAGGGAAAATATCTTATTACCTTCTTGTCTTTTGAATATTTAGTTTTTTCTCCCTCCCTCCCCCTCTGTCTTGTACCTAATGAGCAAATTATCTAAAAATAGATACGTTCATCATTCTACAAAATGTTGTATCTTTTCTAGATTGGAGGCCAGTGTAATTGTAAGAGACATGTGTCTGGCAGACAGTGCAATCAGTGCCAGAATGGATTCTACAGTCTACAAGAGTTAGATCCTGATGGCTGCAGTCCGTGTAACTGCAATACCTCTGGGACAGTGGATGGAGATATTACCTGTCACCAAAATTCAGGCCAGTGCAAGTGCAAAGCAAACGTTATTGGTACGTGTAATGCAAAAGTTTACAGTCACATCTCTATTACCATCTGGAATAAAATTCTCTATTTGATTTCTTAACTGAAGAGTATAGCAAATTTCTTTGCTCAAGGCAGGCTGGAAAAAAAAAACAATTTGGATGAAATTAACTGTTTAAAAATGATTAAATTAATAATTCTATCAAACTGCAGCTTGGAGCTTAGTTTAATCAACCCTTTAGAAGTTTCTTTATTCTGTAGATGTATTAGTTCACATGGTCCCATACTAATAAGTCATAGAAAAATATAATTTGCTTACTGCATAGATGTTTCTTTTAGAAAATTAGCACTTTTTCAAAATGTTTTACACTTAATGAGTTCTAAGGAAATCATTTCCATGCTAGTTTTCTTAATAGACCAAAATAAATGGATTTTTTTCAAAATATTCTGTGCTACAGGGTCCTTTGTGATAAATCTTTCCATTTTTTTCTATTATATTTCTTTGAACTGTCCCTATGAAATGCAAAATAAGTCAACATAATTCCACAGATCATGTATATTGCTAAGGTTACTTATAAAGGGCTACATAATTTTAATTTTGTAATTCAGCACCAAGTTGATTATAATAAACAGCTACCTTCGGTGTTATTTATCATTTTTTTTATACAAGACGTGCTTTTTTGTTTGTTACTCCCACAGGTATTTTTCAGAAATTAGATTTGATTATAGCAATTTATTACATCCAACATTTTTGAGGGGAACCACCGCCACATAAGGACAAAATTTATCAAGTGCCCAAAATGCACTATGTACATAATGCACTTTGAAATTTTGATATATGAGAATATTATGAGAGGAAAGTTTCCTGATGAAGTGAGTCCTGCATTGTAACTGAATATGTCCTGGTTCATATAGGAAGTTTAAAAAAGACCTTTGCCTTTCTGTTGTCATTCAAGACACCAAGTCATCCATGGTTTTTCTAACACTGACCTGAACCTAACAATAATGAAAATATGCCTAGCAGTGATCACACACACACACACACACACACACACACACAAATGCTTACAAGTACATATGCATATGTACATATTCTGAATACTATTTTCATTTCTGTGATATATCTCTAAATCTAATTCTTTATCTTTTGTTTATGTTGGTATACATCATGCTACACAATTCAGCTAGACAAGCATTTCAATTTAATAAAAGTAACGTAGGTGTGTTCAATGGCATTACATGAGATTTTTCTGGTTTAAAGAAAGATTGCATGAAAATCTAACATAATTTGCCTTTTTGGATCTCAAGCATACTAATTTTTTTAGAAAGAAAGAATAACTAACGTGTAAAGAGAAGTACATATTTGTATGTACTATCTCTGATGCTGAATGAATTCTAAGACTTTGAATTCAATCTGTATGGCGTCCTTTGTTCTTTAATGTGAGATATATTTTAAACTCAAATGTGAAAACAAAAGTTAAAGCAAGGCCTATAATGACAGTGAAATAATTACTTCTTTGTATCAATGGAATCTTTCCTGTGATGGTTAGAGTCCAGAGCTTGAGGAAGGGAAAAATCAAAATTTACTTAGAATTTGTTATAATATCCCCACTATTTGCCTATTTTGTTGATTGATCCAGATGGTTTTCTGTAGGAAACATAAATAAATATTTTGTGAAGACTAGATTAGTATTATATATAATTATTATTTCTAGTGTAATTTTTGCAAACATACTTTTAATAAAAACAAAGTTGACATGCATATATATTTATTTTGCTAATGGGATTAGCAAGTAACTTTATTCAATTTCACCTTGTTAATATGAAAAAAAAGAAGCCCAGAAAATACAAGTGTATGTTGTATACGCTTCAGAAAGCAAGCTGTTAGAGTTAACAAAACTGTTAAATCTTACTAATGATTCTATCACCAGTAAAATACATTAGCACCAATAATTTTATTAAAGTAGGTCATTCATCTAGAATAAAAAGGGAGAAGAATGTGAATTAAATGCCAAGTGTGCTAACTCGCCTGTACTTGTTAACACTGAATGTGATGCCCTGTAGGCCTTCCTGAGTATCGTTAGGAATAGATTACCTGTCAGGAATATGTATGGCATATTCAAATAAGCACTGCGCATATTTTTAAAACTGATATGATATGAATCCATGTAGACCAATTTTAATAGTTCAAAATGAGTCATAATTCTTGTTAACAATACAGTTATTTTTAAAATTTGCAGCAATAGTGGTCCTTTTTTATTTTCCTTATTGAAATTAAATGATATGCCTTAGGTGAGTCATTCATCACTGTTAAAGAACTTGCCTTCCATTGGAGTTCTTGAATTTTTATCCATATATATACATATATATTATGCATTTCCTTCCAGTTTAGGAAATGCTTTTCTACATATGAGTTCCTGAGTGTGTTTTTGACTCTTATTTTAAGACTAATTTTTAAATTGCTATTATAGCTTGAAATAAATGTTTCAGTTGATTCAACCCATGAGGTCAGTTATTTAAATTCATACATATGTAGAGACTGTCTAAAGGAAGTATTTTGCATCTAAACATTTACTCTTTTAATTTTTTTTTATTTCTTTGCCTTGTAATAACCGTTTTTAGCATAACCTTACTTGTCAGAGATTTAAGTTTAGGTGATAAAACATTTTTCTCCATTTGTAAAATGTGTATGTGTACTCCTTTAAATAGAAATAATAGAAAAAACAGAATTTACTTAGTGTTTAAAGAGGTATGTTCTGAATCACACAAGATGACAAGCAATGTGATTGCTTTATGAGCCACGGAGGGCATAATTTATATTAATTGAAAATGATAAAATAGAGGAGCATACAAAAGGATTAAAATAAGAATTGCCCTGGATAAGTTTTATTTATATTAATTATTTAAATGTGGAGATTCAGAAATAAATGTATATGCTGTTGTCACAAAAATAGTTATCAGCTTTTTATTTTTTCTCAGCTTCACTAATGTATAATTAAATAAAAATCGTATATATTTATGGCAGACAACATGATGTTTTGATATATGTACACATTATAAAATGATTAATTCCAGCTAATTAACATATCCATCACCTCATGTACTTATGTTTTTGTGGTGAGAACATTTAAGATCTTAGCAATTTTCAAGTATTGAATACATTATTATTAAGTATAGTCACCACGCTGTACAGTAGAGCTCCAGAACTTATTCATTCTGTCTAGCTGAAACTTTGTACTCAGCTTAACATTTTATTAAACATCTTTAGTGATTTCTTATCTTTAGGAAAACAGCTAATTTGTTATATGAAATTCTATAATTCTGAATGAACACATTTGTTAAAATAGTTTTTAAGATTTGTTAAAGAGGAAAAGAGCTCCAGCATATGTAATAGAAACAACATTTGCATTAAGCATTTTTCTTTGTATTAAGTAATAATTAAAAATTTATGAAGTTCAGTTGTATATTAAAGCTAAATTAAATATTACCATTGTATTTTGAGAGTATGATTAGCCCTCTATGGCATTGCTTGTGGGAAAACACTCAGTATTTTGTGTCCTTATTAAGTGTCTGCAGTAGCATTGTTTGTGCCTCATCTATCTTGAATGAAATCATTTTCCTATCCTCACCTTTTAAATATGTTTTATCTTTAGGGCTTAGGTGTGATCGTTGTAATTTTGGATTTAAATTTCTCCGAAGCTTTAATGATGATGGATGTGAGCCCTGCCAGTGTAACCTCCATGGCTCAGTGAACAAATTCTGCAATCCTCTGTCTGGGCAGTGTGAGTGCAAAAAAGAAGCCAAAGGACTTCAGTGTGACACCTGCAGAGAAAACTTTTACGGGTTAGATGTCACCAATTGTAAGGCCTGTGACTGTGACACAGCTGGATCCCTCCCTGGGACTGTCTGTAATGCTAAGACAGGGCAGTGCATCTGTAAGCCCAATGTTGGAGGGAGACAGTGCAATACATGTTTGGAGAGAAACTTCTACCTACGGCAGAATAATTCCTTCCTCTGTCTGCCTTGTAACTGTGATAAGACTGGGACAATAAATGGCTCTCTGCTGTGTGACAAATCAACAGGACAATGTCCTTGCAAATTAGGGGTGACAGGTCTTCGCTGTAATCAGTGTGAGCCTCACAGGTACAATTTGACCATAGACAATTTTCAAAGCTGCCAGATGTGTGAGTGTGATTCCTTGGGGACATTACCTGGGACCATTTGTGACCCAATCAGTGGCCAGTGCCTGTGTGTGCCTAATCGTCAAGGAAGAAGGTGTCATCAGTGTCAACCAGGTAAGAAAGAAATGTGTTGCATTTTCAATGCACAATGACCTTCCTTTTGTTAACTCGTAACAGGTGATTTCTTTCTGTTTCTGGTTTGTGGCTTCTACAAATTTTATTTCCAAAGTAATTGTTGTATTTATACCGTTATCCAACACAGATATAACTATTTAACTTCTTCAAAATTATCTAGCATATTTATGTTACTATTTTGGGAGGATACTCTAGATAAACTTCAGCCAATTAGATTTATTTCTTAATTGAGACAATTTCCCCACTTGGAGTAAATCTCCTTTTAACAGTTTTTTTTTAAAAATCAGATTAAGGAGAGTCAACTTTATTTTCTAGAGAAAGGAAAATTTGAGTTGATTTATCCATACAGTGCCAAAAATTGAAATGATGAGCTAAATCTCTGAATAAAGCTGGCCAGATGTTTTTACCAAAGAGGCTGTATGTTCTAGCTTTATACAGAAATACCTAGAATTGTTTCTACCTGCCATCAAATTAATAAAATAGGCTACTATTTAATCTCACCATATACAAACTTATCTTTCCATCTCTTTCCCAATTGGGAGACGGATAGACCCCATCTTGGTTCTCCTTGCATTTAAGATTTTAACTAAAATACTATGCCTTCTTTACAATAAATTCATTAGGACACCATGATAAATATAAGTACTTATCAGTTGCTTAACAGCTGTGCTAATTGCTATCCTGTTAGCCAGCCTTAGCTCTGAGTTATATGAGCCTATAAAAATGAGCATATACAAACTCAAAAGTGTGGTTTGCTTGCTACAGAAGGATTAGAACGAAAGCTCTGTTTGCAGAGCATGGAACCCAGCCTAGGAGAACTGGGCCACACTTTTCCTTTAGCATTGGTCACTGTGACAAGATCAAAGAGACAGGAAGGAATTCATAAAGAGTTTATTATTTTTGACATGTAAGTTTTAGAAAACAACTTGAACTGCTTTAATCATAAAAGGAGACTATATTATAACTAGATATTCCATAAAAATCTAAGGACAAGGACCACTACAGGAACTAGAATGGTTCCATTGATACATGTTCATACATATTTCTCTCTCTCTCTGTCTCTCTCTCTCTCTCAGAAGGGAATTTTACTTCTTTATTTCTCTCTGTATGGGTATATGGTGAACCTATGTCCCCCAAAATTGTTTATAATTCTACCACTAGCTACAACAGAGAGATTTATTATCTACCTCTTAGTTATAATTTCTAGAGGGAAATTCAAATTGACTCAGTATTGTTTGGTTGGTTACCTCTGAGCCAATTCAGTGGGGCCGGGGGTGTCACATTCTTATAAAATGAGCATGGCTTTTAGGGACCATTACATCAGGTAGGCGCAATGTGGTAAGCATCCCCAAAAACAGGGAGATTATTGACAGCTGGACAGATGGCCTTAATAACAGATACAGCACATTACACTCTTTTTACCTTCAGGTTAATCCTTCCAAAATTGCAATCAATTAACTTTTTGGTATCCTAAGATGATATTTTTCTTAGAGATGTTGATACTGTTTATCAATATCTCTAATTTTAGAAACAAGGTACACCGTCTCCTGCACAGTCAAATAACCATGATTTATATATTCTTCTTTCTAAGTAAACCAAAACAAGCTAATAGATCAAATATTATATCCTTTTAATTATCAATTGCTAAAATTTATTGTTTCATAACATTAGTTGTATATATAAGTCACACGTTTTAAACAATTTTTCTAATTTTGGATAAACTCTGATATCACTGTAAAAACATTTGGTCCCTTTGGTCCTTTCAATGAAAGACCCGGCTCATCATCTCAATACTTTGTACACCTACAAATATCTAAATGATGAACTAAAATTGTTAGAAAAACTGTGTCTTTCTGGGCGTTTTATATGTCATGCAGAAATAGCTGTGGATAATTTACATCATGCATAAGACTGTTTCATTTGTGCCCTTCCTAGAATGAAGAAATACAGACTTCATTGTTCTTTCCTTTATCTTTGTGGCTCTCACTGTGGTGATCTCTTTGTTCTCAACTCTACACCCTTTTCTCCCTCCACCGTCTATGGCTCTTTCCTGACTACCCTGTATAGTATTGGCATAATAATTTCCCTAAAGTACTTCTTTAGTTGTGTCATTCTCCTAGAGGGTTACCAAAATGGGTTTTACTTTACTTATCATTTGAGTCCAATCTGCGCAAACTTTTATGAGTTCTTATCTTCTGGTCACAGCCTAGACACCCTGCTTTGCTTCCTGATATTCCCTGATTCCCATCTTCTTCAGTCACTGCAGCCACTTCACTGGAGCTACACATGTCACATGCAGAGCCAACTTCTATATACCTGATGCTTGGGTTCATTCTTTCCCCATGTGGAATGCAGTATAGTTCTCCTTTTCAATGTTAGTTGGCATCCTCCGACTAGTTTTGCTATTGAACATACTGCCTGTAATTTTCCATCAGTGAACAATAGTGAGCAACAAATTTGACATGAAGCTTCAGTGTTTTAAGAGGTGGTTTAACTCAAACCTACAGAAAACTTGAAAATAATGCATTTTTGAAAATGTGCTCAAACTTGAAAATAATGCGTTTTTGAAAATGTGCTCTATGTACTTCATGTTCAATTTATTATTTGACCTTGAAGAGAGATTTATGTTTAAGAAATAATACAGATCTCATTGTAATTACTCTATAATTATGCTTCTCTTTTCTGAAGACCATATGGAACTATAAATGAGGTCAATGAGTTAAGAGAAGAGAGCGTTAAAACTTAAAGTATTTTTATTTACTGAAAAAATTTGACAATGTATTGTAAAATATTTAGCAGAAAACATACCAGACTGAGAAGACATATTTGGAACTCCATTTCTTCAGCTTACTCTTACTCTTACTGTCCTCCTCATCAGGGAACTTTCATTTTTTTCTTCTAACTGTCCATTTCTAACCTGGAGTAAGCAGTTTTATCTATCAGATAGATACTCTATCTAAATATCCATGTGTCTATTTAAAACTTGGGGCCCCTGTTACTATAAAGAATAAGAAAGAAATTGATCCTGGAAGACAGCCTTGGCTATACTAGGAATGTCCTACACTTATAAATTTGCTGGCAGAACATTAGTCAGCTTCCAAATAGATGCTTTTAATGACCATGAGTTTTGTACTTTTTTGATAGATTTAGTTATTTGCATTTTTTTAAAAAAGTAAGCCAGAGTTAATGAAGGCCTCTTAAGTCCTGAGGAAATATATGCACAAAATCTCTTCTTGGTATCTTCAACTATTTATTACTTGCTTTGCCTTATAGACTCACTACTATTCTAGTGATTCTTTCTTCCAAGGATATGCTACAGTTTATCAGTGGCCCTGCTGAGTTATTGACTCAAGATATTGACCTGGTTATGAAACGCTAGAATGATCAAGCTATAGATTTGTATTATTATATTTTGTTGAACAGCACAGTTCATAAACATTTCTCTTACAGAGAAATCATTTTCTTCTGGGTACTGCTGAGTTCTTAATTTAATCAGATAACATTTTATGTGTAGTAGCAAATGGTACTTTCAGTGAGCCTAAATTTTGATGGGGAAACTGATAGATTAATTTACAAATAAATATATGATATAAATTTAAATAGTGATTATTTTTGGATCCCTGGCTCTATGCAATTATCTTTCTTTGTTAAGAGTTTAAGATATTACTGAGGTTACCAAATGAATGATGTATTGGCCACTTTTATATCAATGTTTTTAGTTTCCAGAAAGGTAAACTAGATAGCCATGTTTATATTGTACAAGTAAAGTCACATTGATATTTTGTTGCAATGGAAACAGGAAGTGGTTTAAAAGGAGGATTGGTAAAGTGAAAGAAATCAACCTGTCTCTTTTCATATTATTTTCTAAAATTAGTCATTTTTCTGTTTTTCTCTTTTACATTTTTTTCATTAAAGATCATGAGTGCCTGATTTAAAAAGCAGCCCAACAAGATTACCTTATTAAAATGCCTGATTATTTCTCCATGTCTTCAATTAAATAAACCCCTTACTGTGTACCTACAAGGTAAAAGGAATTATTTTATTATTGTAGTTATGCAGGTTGAATAAGATAATCCTTGCCCTCAAGATATTGAAACTCTAGCAAGGGAAATAAAATAATTGCACAAGTAAATAAAATACAAGAATGCTTTAAATATGATCATTATATTTCAGTATTAGTGTTGATGCTTGTTCTATATCTTCCTCTAAAGAAAGAAGACAATTTGCAATAAGCATTTGGAAAGTTTTGTTACATCTATACCTAGGCAAATAGGGACTAAGAAGTTATTCTCCTAATGGCCACACCTAGTGGCTCATGCTTGTAATCCCAGCACTCCGAGGTGGATGGATCGCCTGAAGTCAGGAGTTCAAGAACAGCCTGACCAACAAGGTGAAACTCCGTCTCTACTAAAAATACAAAATTAGCTGGGCGTGGTTGTGCATGCCTGTAATCCCACCTACTTGGCAGGCTGAGGAAGGAAAATCACTTGAACCCAGAAGGCGGAGGTTGCATTGAGCCGAGATCATGCCATTGCCCTCCTGCCTGGGCAACAAGAGCCAAACTCCATCTAAAAACAAAAAAAGACAAATGGATACCAGATAAAGCCCTCCCTCCCCCCCAAAAAAGAGTCAGGAGAAGAAAAAGGAAGCCAAGAGGGAGATTGTGTGAAGAATCTGTGTATTATTATTCAGTATTGACATTTTTAAATTTAATTTGAATTTTAATCAAAATTTACCTTTGCATAATTTTTAAAAACCAAATAAAATGTAAAGGGCCCAGTCTTATCATTTACCCAGAAGTCTCCCTGCTCAGAGAAAATACCTTAAATTTCTTTAGATGTTTCTTCTGAGCTTTCAGGTCTGTATTTCTGGGATATATATACATATATAGATATATATGTATATGTATATGTGTGTATGTGTGTGTGTGTGTGTATATATATATACACACACACATACACACAGATTTTTATCTTGAT